ATACGGTAGCTCATACAAGATGCTTACCTTTGTCCAATTTGGGTTCTGACGAGGTCTTTTCATGTTGCTTGGATGTTTTCCATATGTGACACCCGTCATGCTGCCTAATTGTTCTTCAATCTTTTCTGTCAGTATCACCAAAGATCTCTTCCGTTTTTCATGCTTGTCATTATATGCTCTACTCTTTCGCCTTTCTGGGTGGTCATCAGGCAAGTAGCATCGATGGTTACTGTACGCAGTTTTACTGCTTAAAGATTCAAAATATGGTTCATCATTGCAAGTGTAACAAGAGTAATGACCCTTTGTTCTCCATCCAGAAATGTCACCAAATGCGAGCCAATCATGTATCGTCCACAGCAAAGTCGCACGCATGCAGAAAGTCTCACCAGTCGAGGCATCATAGGTTAATGTACCATTTTTCCATAATTCATTCAATTCTTCCACTAAAGGTCTCATGTAGACATCAATATCAATTCCTGGTTGTGATTCACCAGGAATAAGTAATGACAGCGTGAAAAATGGGTCCTTTATAGCCAACCACGGTGGCAAGTTGTACGGAATGAGTACGACAGGCCACAAACTATATGAGTTATTCATATTTCCGAAAGGGTTGAAACCATCAGTAGCCAACCCCAGCCTCACATTCCGAGGCTCCAAGGCAAATTTAGGATGTTGTGTATCGAATTTCTTCCACTAATCACTATCTGCAGGATAGCTCAATACACTGTCATCTAGAAGTTTTTCCTTGAACCATTTCATATCCTCGGCTCTCTTCCTCGACATGTACAACCTTTTCAATCTCGGTGTTAACGGGAAGTATCGAAGAACCTTACGAGAGATCTTCTTACCTCTACCATGATTTGTCTTGTATCTAGAAGCCTTACAATTTGGACATTTATCCAATGTTGCATTCCCCTTCCAAAAGAGCACACAATCGTTTACACAAGCATCAATGAGCTCGTATGACAAACCCAATTCACGTAGTATTTTTTTAGCTTCATAAGTTGACTTTGGAACCAAATTATCCTTCGGTAAAAGTTTTGTTAAAAACTCTAGCATCATGTCAACTGACTTATTACTCCAATGGTTGGTTACCTTCATATTAAGTATCTCGATGACAAACTGTAACAAAGTGTAATTTGTGCAACCTGGGTACACCTCACGTTTGGCATCATTCAATAATTTATCAAAAGTGCGAACCTCCTCCTCTTGAGTTGTATTAGTTGATTCCCCTCTTATTCGATCTTCCACTAAGGCATCAATACCTCCCAAAACCTCATACTGAAGATACTTCTCTATCTCAGGGCTATTGTATAATAAGAACCAATGAGCAATATCACGAAGTTCCTGTGACATCTCAACATGCTTTCTGATTTGGCCAATAGGACGAGCAGTTTCGGTGAATATTATCAAACCTTCACGACGGACTCCATAATCTTCATTTCGTGCATCTCGATTATGCACGGTTTCAATCCCTTCAAGATACATTGAGCAAAAAGTAATGCACTCCTTGACAATGTAAGCCTCTGCAATAGAACCTTCTGGTCGAGCTCGATTGGTGACAAACTTTTTCAAAGCTCCGAGAAACCTAATTAGGAGTATGGTTAGGCACACAACATAATCTATACCTTTCATTTGAAAGTACAATTTTAGAAATTACCTTTCAATCGGGTACATCCACCGATATTGCACAGGTCCTCCGAGAATAGTCTCACGTGGCAAGTGAATGGCCAAATGAACCATCACATCGAAGAAGGCTGGAGGAAAGATCTTTTCAAACTTACATAGTATGAGTACTATACGTTCCTCTAATTTCTCCATTTCACTTCATTTCAGTGTCCTTGAGCATAGATCTTGGAAGAAGCTACCTAACTCAAAAAGTGCTGTACTGATCTCTTTATCTACGTAACCACGCATCCCAATAGGAAGAATCCGTTGTATAAGTACATGGCAGTCGTGGCTTTTCAATCCTGTTAATCTACCATTTTTTGCATTTACTGATCTCGAAATGTTTGCCGCGTACCCATCTGGATACTTGACTGATTTCAAGAATTCAAAGAAACCCTCTCTCTCTTTAGGGGTCAATGAGAAGCTGGCTCGCGGCTTCACATATGATCCATCGGGATTTGTTGTCAGCCACAATTCTTTCCTTATATTCATGTCTTCTAAATCCATTCGTGCCTTATCTGTATCCTTGTTCTTTCCATCAATTCCCAACATCGTTCCAAAAACATTTTCACTAAAGTTCTTCTCCACATGCATGACATCAATGTTGTGTCGAAGCCTCCTTTTCTTCCAATACGGTAGCTCATACAAGATGCTTACCTTTGTCCAATTTGGGTTCTGACGAGGTCTTTTCCTGTTGCTTGGATGTTTTCCATATGTGACACCCGTCACGCTGCCCAATTGTTCTTCAATCTTTTCTATCGGTATCACCAAAGATCTCTTCCGTTTTTCATGCTTGCCATTATATGCTCTACTCTTTCGCCTTTCTGGGTGGTCATCAGGCAAGTAGCATCGATGGTTACTGTACGCAGTCTTACTTCTTAAAGATTCAAAATATGGTTCATCATTGCAAGTGTAACAAGAGTAATGACCCTTTGTTCTCCATCCAGAAATGTCACCAAATGCGGGCCAATCATGTATCGTCCACAGCAAAGCTGCACGCATGCAGAAAGTCTCACCAGTCGAGGCATCATAGGTTAATGTACCATTTTTCCATAATTCATTCAATTCTTCCACTAAAGGTCTCATGTAGACATCAATATCAATTCCTGGTTGTGATTCACCAGGAATAAGTAATGACAACATGAAAAATGGGTCCTTCATAGCCAACCACGGTGGCAAGTTGTACGGAATGAGTACGACAGGCCACAAACTATATGAGTTATTCATATTTCCGAAAGGGTTGAAACCATCAGTAGCCAACCCTAGCCTCACATTCCGAGGCTCCAAGGAAAATTCAGGATGTTGTGTATCGAATTCCTTCCACTCATCACTATCTGCAGGATGCCTCAATACACCGTCATCTAGACGTTTTTCCTTGAACCATTTCATAACCATTTCATATCCTCGGCTCTCTTCCTCGACATGTACAACCTTTTCAATCTCGGTGTTAACGGGAAGTATCGAAGAACCTTACGAGAGATTTTCTTACCTCTACCATGATTTGTCTTGTATCTAGAAGCCTTACAATTTGGACATTTATCCAATGTTGCATTCCCCTTCCAAAAGAGCACACAATCGTTTACACAAGCATCAATGAGCTCGTATGACAAACCCAATTCACGTAGTATTTTTTTAGCTTCATAAGTTGACTTTGGAACCAAATTATCCTTCGGTAAAAGTTTTGTTAAAAACTCTAGCATCATGTCAACTGACTTATTACTCCAATGGTTTGTTACCTTCATATTAAGTATCTCGATGACAAATTTTAACAAAGTATAATTTGTGCAACCTGGGTACACCTCACGTTTGGCATCATTCAATAATTTATCAAAAGTGCGAACCTCCTCCTCTTGAGTTGTATTAGTTGATTCCCCTCTTATTCGATCTTCCACTAAGGCATCAATACCTCCCAAAACCTCATTGCCCTCAACGGGTATATCATGATGATAAGCCTCGTTTGATTCACGGGGTTCCCCATGCACGTGCCAAATAGTGTAAGTTGGAATAATCCCATGTTGCAGCAAATGAATTTGAACAATTTGAAACTACATCCACATGCAATGTGCAACACTTGAATTATGTTAGTAATGTTTGTATTTTATACAAGCCTAATAGTGTTTGGGCAATTGTGAATATTAAAAATGACTTACATATTCTTTGAACCACTTTGGAAATTCCTTCTGTTGTATCTGAGTTATATCTTGTCCACTGGGAATTTGTAACAAATTCTTGTGTTCCCTACTCAAATAGTTTTGGTTAATGTGTGAAATACTACTATTATTAATGACTAATAACATGATAATTGTTAAAATATATATAATTATAAGAAACACGTACTGAAGATACTTCTCTATCTCAGGGCTATTGTATAATAAGAACCAATGAGCAATATCACGAAGTTCCTGTGACATCTCAACATGCTTTCTGATTTGGCCAATAGGACGAGCAGTTTCGGTGAATATTATCAAACCTTCACGACGGACTCCATAATCTTCATTTCGTGCATCTCGATTATGCACGGTTTCAATCCCTTCAAGGTACATTGAGCAAAAAGTAATGCACTCCTTGACAATGTAAGCCTCTGCAATAGAACCTTCTGGTCGAGCTCGTTTGGTGACAAACTTTTTCAAAGCTCCGAGAAACCTAATTAGGAGTATGGTTAGGCACACAACGTAATCTATACCTTTCATTTGAAAGTACCATTTTAGAAATTACCTTTCAATCGGGTACATCCATCGATACTGCATAGGTCCTCCGAGAATAGTCTCATGTGGCAAGTGAATGGCCAAATGAACCATCACATCGAAGAAGGCTGGAGGAAAGATCTTTTCAAACTTACACAGTATGAGTACTATACGTTCCTCTAATTTCTCCATTTCACTTCGTATCAATGTCCTTGAGCATAGATCTTGGAAGAAGCTACCTAACTCAAAAAGTGTTATACTGATCTCTTTATCTATGTAACTGCGCATCCTAATAGGAAGAATCCGTTGTATAAGTACATGGCAGTCGTGGCTTTTCAATCCTATTAACCTACCATTTTTTGTATTCACTGATCTCGAAATGTTTGCCGCGTACCCATCTGGATACTTGACTGATTTCAAGAATTCAAAGAAACCCTCTCTCTCTTTAGGGGTCAGTGAGAAGCTGGCTCGAGGCTTCACATATGATCCATCGGGATTTGTTGTCAACCACAATTCTTTCCTTATATTCATATCTTCTAAATCCATTCGTGCCTTATCTGTATCCTTGTTCTTCCCATCAATTCCCAACATCGTTCCAAAAACATTTTCACTAAAGTTCTTCTCCACATGCATGACATCAATGTTGTGTCAAAGCCTCCTTTTCTTCCAATACGGTAGCTCATACAAGATGCTTACCTTTGTCCAATTTGGGTTCTGACGAGGTCTTTTCATGTTGCTTGGATGTTTTCCATATGTGACACCCGTCATGCTACCTAATTGTTCTTCAATCTTTTCTGTCAGTATCACCAAAGATCTCTTCCATTTTTCATGCTTGCCATTATATGCTCTACTCTTTCGCATTTCTGGGTGGTCATCAGGCAAGTAGCATCGATGGTTACTGTACGCAGTTTTACTGCTTAAAGATTCAAAATATGGTTCGTCATTGCAAGTGTAACAAGAGTAATGACCCTTTGTTCTCCATCCAGAAATGTCACCAAATGCGAGCCAATCATGTATCGTCCACAACAAAGTCGCACGCATGCAGAAAGTCTCACCAGTCGAGGCATCATAGGTTAATGTACCATTTTTCCATAATTCATTCAATTCTTCCACTAAAGGTCTCATGTAGACATCAATATCAATTCCTGGTTGTGATTCACCAGGAATAAGTAATGACAGCGTGAAAAATGGGTCCTTTATAGCCAACCACGGTGGCAAGTTGTACGGAATGAGTACGACAGGCCACAAACTATATGAGTTATTCATATTTCCAAAAGGGTTGAAACCATCAGTAGCCAACCCCAGCCTCACATTCCGAGGCTCCAAGGCAAATTTAGGATGATGTGTATCGAATTTCTTCCACTCATCACTATCTGCAGGATGGCTCAATACACTGTCATCTAGACGTTTTTCCTTGAACCATTTCATATCCTCGGCTCTCTTCCTCGACATGTACAACCTTTTCAATCTCAGTGTTAACGGGAAGTATCGAAGAACCTTACGAAAGATCTTCTTACCTCTACCATGATTTGTCTTGTATCTAGAAGCCTTACAAATTGGACATTTATCTAGTGTTGCATTCCCCTTCCAAAAGAGCACACAATCATTTACACAAGCATCAATGAGCTAGTATGGCAAACCCAATTCACATAGTATTTTTTTAGCTTCATAAGTTGACTTTGGAACCAAATTATCCTTCGGTAAAAGTTTTGTTAAAAACTCTAGCATCATGTCAACTGACTTATTACCCCAATGGTTTGTTACCTTCGTATTAAGTATCTCGATGACAAATTTTAACAAAGTGTAATTTGTGCAACTTGGGTACACCTCACATTTGGCATCATTCAATAATTTATCAAAAGTGCGAACCTCCTCCTCTTGAGTTGTATTAGTTGATTCCCCTCTTATTTGATCTTCCACTAAGGCATCAATACCCCCCAAAACCTCATTGCACTCAACGGGTATATCATGATGATAAGCCTCATTTGATTCACGGGGTTCCCTATGCACATGCCAGATAGTGTAAGTTGGAATAATCCCATGTTGCAGCAAATGAATTTGAACAATTTGAAAATTTGGACGAATGACATTCACACACTTTCGACAAGGGCAAAAAATTTTACCATCTCGATCAATAACCACCATTGCAAAATGAAGAAATGATATTACCCCATCATTATATGCCCAACTTATCCTTCCATCAACTGTGCTACCTCATGCAATCCAACTCTTGTCCATCTCTGACTATGCCAAGTTAATTAAAGTTAGGTGAATAGGACAAATTTTATATAGAAAAATATATATATATATATTTTAGTTAAAAAAAAGTTCAAGTCCAATGATTATACTAAGTTATATAAATTACAACCACACATAAATCACGTGAGAAAATAGCCAAAGCAATTTAGCATAAACAAAAGAAGTATTCATAACCAAAACATAAACCACAGCAAAATAACCATCAATAAGAAGACAAATATCATAATTCAGAGAAAATTTAACCAATAAAGCAATGAGCTAAGAGTAAAAAGCAGATAACATGACACAGAAAGAAAACCCACAATATTTCACATTGAGTTTCTAAAGCTGTCAATTTAAGTACTCAAATATCCAAATGCAAAATGTTGTGATTGAACTACACGTGAAAAATATATATAAGCCCGAATACCAGAATTGACACATCTATCAACTAAATTGGGATATTGAAAAAATAATACATTGGGAAACAATAACTATTCTGGCTCACATTTCACTTGGTAAACAAAATGTGATAAAATTATGCAGAGGAACTTAATAATGTACTTAAGGAGCTATGCATATAAGAAATGAACGATGCCAATAGAATTGATAGCCACATGCGACAATTCCAATGAATGCCCCCAGACTATAATTTAATACTTATGGCATGTTACTGCAGTTAGTACTCTGTTTGATTTTCTCTTTACTCAACTATATACGAAGTCCAGAGAAGTTAAAGCAAGATATGCTAATTTAAGGGTGTAATATTCCAATTTTCATTAAATCGAGAGTTGTGAGAGAAAAAATAATTAATTAATATGTAATATATAATATTTTATCTTATTGATTATTTTAATATTTTTTAATTTTATTGACTATTTTAGCCAAAATCTGTCATCCCAAACATATAGACTCAAACTTCCCTAAATTTTATAAATATATTGACATTTTTTAAATAAAAAAAATCAACAAAAGAAAAGTTTCTTGATGAAAATTGCAGACGTACAAAGAGAGTGTACAATAAACTGATACATCAATAAGAAAATCCATGGAGAAATGCATCAAACTGAAACACAAATAAAAGACAAATTGGAGAAATGACTACTGGGATGAATCACCAGGTGATTGTGCTTCCTTAATTTATGACCTACTGGGGGACTTCTCAAAATTGTTTTCTAAGTGCACGCATCTAAGCATTAATTTCCTCATATTATCTATAGATATGAATCAGTCATTATAAACGAAGTACAAAAGCTCTTCTTATTCACACAAGGTATAGGATGTCAGCAGCAAAGTTAATGAGTCAAGATGAATTCCTTAAGAGTTTTAGGTGGACCAATTTTATTATTGTTGTTATTATTTTATTTTATTTTTTTTGGAGGGGGATTAAATTGGAAAATGGAAATCACATGCAGTAGATGATATAGTAATAGCGACATATTGGCAATAATCTTCTTTTGAGGTACATATAGGATACCAGTTTTACTTCATGGTTCATAGAAGACATGATCACATGACATTTTGAAGCATAATTGAGCTCTACTACAAGTTTGGAGTAGAAGGATAAGGCTGGTAAAAGATGAAAAACTAACTAGGCCTGAGATCAATAGCAAGAAAAACAAGTACACAAATGAGAAAAAAAAAAAAGACAAAGTATTACATCCCAAGAAACAAAAGTCAAATATTTGGAATTTTTAGAATCATACTGATATTCCGAAACTTAGCTGATCTCAATTTGACATTTACATAATCATGATGAAAGCTGTATCAGGAAGGCAGAGGTGAGTCATCTCACGCTGGTAAAAGATGAAAAACTAAGTACGCCTGAGATCAATAGCAAGAAAAACAAGTACACAAATGAGAAAAAAAAAAGACAAAGTATTACATATCCCAAGAAACAAAAGTCAAATATTTGGAATTTTTAGAATCATACTGATATTCCGAAACTTAGCTGATCTCAATTTGACATTTACATAATCATGATGAAAGCTGTATCAGGAAGGCAGAGGTGAGTCATCTCACAAGCTCACGTTTTATTTCTATTTTTTCAGCTTTGTACATTACACAATTGTAGGAGAAATACAAAAGAGCCATTTATAGAGAAATTCATTTGACAAAGAACAGTATTTACACCTTCAACCTTCAATTGAGTCCCTTATTTTACGCAACTAGCCATTGTGGCGATTTTCAAAAGCCATTCTTCAATATAATTGTTTTCAAATACATACTACATAGGTTTAACTTCAACTACAACGATAAAATCTTATCTAATTGAAATTATAGTCCTTGATAGGGCATAATGGTAGTAGAATAAGATACCCTGGCTACTCGTGATAAGGCCTTATCTTTGTATGCACTACGACGTATGCCAGAGTGGAATAAATAATAGAAACAATTTGGAATATGCTCTTTCTTCCTTTTAGCTACAACACCTTTGAAAACTTGGGAGTAGATGGCAAACCATGACCAAGTTGGCAAACATGAGTTTGACTTTAGAAATCAATACAAATAATACCGGGCATTGGGCTTTGACAATGAATTATCATATCATAAATAGCATGCACAGCAGACCAATCACTGGTACATTTCAAAGACAAGAAATAGTTGACATAATAGTAAAACCAAACATACTAACCCCTGGCTTTGAAGACTCGATCAATGGGCCATGATGAAGAATCTGACACAAGAAGATAACCGATTCATGATAAAGAAATCCATTATCTGGGTCTAGAATGTTTGATACTTTCTTGGACATGATAACATAATACTTTGACTTTGTACATACTGTTTCTTCATCATGCCAGCTTGTAGAAATGCATTTATGATTCAGCAAACCCATCCTAAACCTAACCTCAAACACCAACTCTCTAATGATTATATAACAAGAGCTAACATTCTGCTTTCAATGAAGAATTCTGCTACAATTAAAGCTAGAATCCCACATTTGCAACCAACTCTCTAATGATATATAACAAGAGCTCTAATTGTGTTAACATTACATGGCCTTGAGAGTATTTTCCAAATGTTTTTTTGATAATTCGAATCATTCATATTGTAAAGTTTGTCAATTAGATCATCCATGAAAAAAATCAAGTTAATTAGATATTTGTAACTTATAACATGTCTACATTTATGTTTGAAAAAATAAATGTTTAGTATAGTTTTGATAATTTTTTTTAAAAATAATTATGATCCGAACATGAGCTATGCATGTCCGATTTATTTTATACTTTATATGAATAATATACATGACAAATCCTATGATATAAATGATTTCGTTCATTAAAATAAAATCGATACAAATCTCAACGGGCCGTCACAGCAGGTGCTGTGATAGCACCCTCCCTTGTGCCCACAAAACCTTTTGACATTTCTTTCATGGAAGTCCAGCAGAGTATGCTTCTTTTATTTTTATTTTTCTTTTCTTAAGTGCTATGAAAATGTAGTTTTATTTTTACCTAAAGGAAAATGACTAACAGGAGCCAGGTCAAACCAAGCCAACATGACTTTTAGTAATTGGGGTGGGGTGGGGTGGGGTGGGTTTTCAACATATAGTATATAATAATTACAGAATATACTCTTGTTTATTAGGTCTCCTAGTCTTCTTCACCAATGAGACTTGTAACTTAGTGGTAAATTGAACCCAATTTGGACTCCCACCTCTTTCCTAGAGGCACTTCAGTATATTAGTTATAAAAAATAATAAAAAAGGGTTAACAAATTTCATAGAGAGCAACAACACTAGCATAGCAAGCCACTTATGGATCTAGCTATAGGTTGCTCAATAAATTGATTAGCATAAAGCTCCACCTCTAATTTTAATTTTACCCCTTTTAAATAGGCTATGGTGTTCTTGATGCATAATACTTACAAGAGTAACACCAAACACTAAAAACTAGTAAGGCTTATGTAGACACCCCATTTTTGACCGTCTTCAAGACTTGGACGTCATCGTTTGAACACTCGATGATCATCCATGCTCGTGTTCGTTCTGAGTTCCCGGAGGTCTCGGCTGTGCGCCTTGCCTTACGATCTCTCAACTTGTCTGTTTCGTGCTTGGTTGTGGACCAAACACTTGCGTTTTTGCTTCTGAGGGAAGAGGTTGGCTTGTTGGCCATCCCCTCAACCCATCGGCCAAGGCTTGATGCCATCGGCCTTTCTTTCTTGCCATCGGCCGAAAGTGTTGGCCGATCAACACCTTTTCCGGTCGGTCGGCCCTTTTGTTGGTCGATCGACCATATTTTCTGGCCAAGCCCTGTTCATCTGCTTTTTGTAGATATTTTATGCCAGCTGGCATGCACAATTCCCCCCCTCCATACACGTGTATGGAGGGATTTGCCCCTTGCCTTAGCTTTTCCAAGAAGCTTTGGAATTGAACTTCTATAAGAAGGGAGCCCCTCCTCCCTTCTCAGAGGTTCAGAAAATTGCCCTTAGAGAGATACATATAGTTTTGTATCTATCTTGCTTGGCTCTCCATTTTTGTGCTTCAAAAGTGTAGTATTGTCTTAGTTTAACACAGAAACACCTAGCAATACACCTTCTTTTTGTTGCTGAGGTACTAGGGAATTGGTTTTGGTGTTATGGGGTGGGTTTGAACTCAGAAAAGCTACTGGACCCTTGTTCTTGAAGAGGTTCTACAAGGGTGAGCAACTAACCTTTAGATACCCCATTCTTGTTTAAGCTTTTAGACCTATTTGCTTATTGTTTTAAGCTTAACTCTTAACTGATAAAAGTTCTGATTTTTCGTGCTTAAGACCTTTGTATAAGGTCAGTTTTTGGTTTGGGATTGTTTACCCCCTCTTAGGCCTTGTTTGGCCTTATTCTTGTGCTTTATTTTTAAGCTTTGGGATCACCTTATTTAGGCCTTCCCAGAGGGATTTCAGTGGTGGGAATGGTGTTTTAAGGTC